GTCCCTGGTCAAAGGAATTAAGTTTCTTGATTTAAAAAGAAGGCCGACGGACGCACTATCACGGATTAGGTAATAGCATCACATATCGACATTGACCTACATCTGTGACCCATTAAAGTGCTTCCGACTTGTGGCATACGCATCAGAACGATAACTACAAGAGTGGAATCTGTTGCGTTCTTCCTTAGCCCTCTCCACTCCTAATTCCTTCTCCTATTCAAGACAAAAATCCTGGAGCTTGGACGTAACACAGTTTTATTGTTTTATTGTTAAAATAGTATTGATTAACTTGACATTTCAAAATACACATAAGAAAGTTATAAAATAGTCAAAAAAGTATTCGGAGATTTAGAAAGCACACTCCGAAAGAGCTTGGGAATCACTAAATTTGCTTATTCGATTTACATACGCCAATTCTTATAGAACTTCTAGGCTAACTTTTCTTCTTACGAGAAGTAAGTCCATCTCGTGGTGGCACCGTATATGAAAATGATAGATCTTGCTCAGTTTCTGCTGCCAATCATATTATATCAACAGGCTTTGCTCGATTTTTGCTCGCAATTTACTATCAGGTTATACAACAGACTTTGTTTGATTTCTGTCCAATTTGAAAAATTATACATATTTAAGCGCCAAATCATCAAATTGTTAACCTATTGTCACTACTTAAAATCTTCAATGTCATCTATATCTTATATTTTGCTGAATATATTATACAAACTGCATGTTTTAGAAATTATCACTAAAATAGAACAATCCAAAATGAATTAATATAGTTAAATTGTAAAATATCAAAATCACTAAAAACTTACGTTAGAATCAGATTAACGATGGTCTGGTGATAATTTCTAAAACATGCAGTTTGTTTATTCAGCAAAATATAACAGACGACATTGAAGATTTTAAGTAGTGGCAATAGATTAACGATAATTTGATGATTTGACGCTTACATATGTATAATTTTTTATTCTATCAACTATATTTTATACTCCAATATCAGGGTTGAAATATGTATTTTAATTTTAATTTTAATATATATATATATATTGTTACACACGAATAATATATATATTGTTACAACAATGGCTCACATTGGCTTTTCCTCATTACATCATTATATACATTGAGTTTATCTTGAACCTTATATTATATTAAATTGTTATTACTTTTATGTGCCATGGGCTTTAATGGTTAGATTTGGTAATATATACGTATAAATGAATAAAGCAAAATAAAAATGCTTAGTTCTTATAAGAAATAGGAATCAAAGACTTTTACATTGAATTATTTAAGCATCAAAGCTCTAGCTTCTACCATTATAGGCCTTTGTTTCCTATTTCTTATTGGTTATGTTCTTACATGTACAATGTAATAAGATTCTTATGATTTAGCTCTTATTGTTTTTGTTCAGCTTGATATCTTGTATATCCTATCTGTTTGGGGAAAGGAGGGAGGGGGGAATATATGACATTTTTAGCGAGCTGGATTTATGCTCAAAGCATACAAAATGCGCAGATTGGATTCAGTGCACTAAATGCAATAATTGTAATCTATTATTTCTATTTATCATTCTTATTCCTTCACTGTTAGATTTTAAAATGTTACCGGTAATCTCGTTCGATGCTCGCAATTAATTAATTATGAACGCATGAAAACGCATGTAATACTCACATGTTTGAAAAGATATCATAATAATTCCTCGGATTCTAGTAAGTAGTCTTATCCGAAAATTTATTTTAGTTGTCTTGTTCCATGGATATATCTTCTAATTGGAATTTTATACTATAAAAACGAATTGATATGAAACGAATTACATGTGATTACAATATACCATTTCATACCATTTCATAAATATATCTTCAACTATGAATCAAAAAGTATACAACTATGGACTAAATTTGTCAATTTGTTTAAATATAAATCTGATTATAAAGCAATAGTATAAATTAGTCTAAATTTATGTTCATATTATAATAAATAATTATAATAAATAATAAATAAATTTAAGAGTCAACAATATTAAAATTACATAAATACAAGAAAGAACACCTGAGATTTAATAATGTTCGATCTTCACAATTTAAAATAAATAAATAGGAGAGTTCAAATATGAAAAATAATTATTATTTAAAAAGTCTTGCGACTAAAGAACTCTAAGATATTAAATATAAAACGTTTGTTAAAATGATTCTGCCAACTAACTAGCTTGGAGGATAAATGATATGATAAAGAGAGGAAAAATGGAAGGGAAGATGTAAGTAAGATGTAAGTAAGGATTATATAAGTAGTAGATATAAGATATACAAGGAGAGGTTCTGTGTCTGTCTGCCTATTCAAGCCAAACTTCTGTTTTTTAATATGGACTATTTCTGATATGAGCCTTTTTTTTATAAAAAGGCTCGTTTATTCAACATTTCAATCTCATTCCACTTGAAATCATGCTTGAAACTGATACAATGGTCAGACATTACTGAAGGAGTTTTTTTGTATCTGATGTTCATGTATTCTTGTTTATAATCTCCTTTTTGTCTGGCCAATGTAACTCGCCTCACAATCTACACATTCAATCTACAAATTTTATAAATTACACTCTGTTTAGCAAAATGGTCTAATTGATCTTTTCTTCTATGTATAAATTTTTTTAATGTGTTCGGTATTGTGTAAGTTGTCTTAAGATTTATATTCACAATCGGCAAAACTTTCTGAAATAGATTTAACATATGGAATAATAAAAAATTTATTGTTATTTTTAAAGAGACTTGTTTTCGGTCGAAAATAACTATGGAATTTTAATCTTCGTCTAATAGCATCGAAAATAAATGTTAGTGGGTAGCCATTATCTAAAAGAGTGCGTATTGTAATTTCAAAATTTTTATGGAATTAAGGAAATAGAATTCTATTTATCATGCCAAAAACTATTCCTTTTTTATGACATTTAGAATGACTTGAATAGAAATTCAGATATCTTTCTGATGAAATAAGTTTAGAAAAACTGTCAAAATGAATAATAATGGTTCTCTAACATCACCGTGACATCCAAAAAGTTTGTTGTTATCACTAATCTCTAATGTAAATTGCAATTTTTCGTGCATCGAATTGAAAATGGTTAATATGTAATTTAATTGATTGCGGAGCTGCGAAAATGATGTCATCTACATACCTATAGTATAAGGTAACTATATATATAAGTAACTATAAAGATAATTTTTCAAATGCTTGTTCTTCTCGGTCTTGCAATACATCTCCGCTATAATTGGAGAAAGAGGCGAACCCATAGGGGTGCCAAATATCTGTTTAATAAAACGAATCATTAAAAACAAAAAAAGTAGAGTTAAGAATCAAATTGATATCATTAATTCTTCTTGTGTAATTTTAGTACTCCTCGATAATCTTATCTTTTAATTATGCTTTTCTGAGCTAAATCAATAAAAACATTCGTAAAGAGTGAAACCATGTTCAGAGAAGCCAAAATGTGATTTTTTTTTCACTTAAGAGGATGCTAAATCATCCTACTTTACCATCATTTCTACGGTGAAAAATCTCCGAATTGGATTTATGGATTACAAAATTGTTATTACGTAAATTAAAGTACGCATGAACAGGACCTTAGCTGCACTGGATTTCATGAGAAAATCGAAAAAAAATTTACTTTTGGCTCGTATAGCTGTCATTTCAGATATATATTGTATAGGTATACCAATATTTGTTTGATATAAGAATTTTAGAGTCCATATTTTATAAATAAGCGTACAACTGAGATCACATTACTGGAACGAACGATATCGAGTTTGTAGAATTAAGATTGAAGGTCTAGAAGAAAAGTATTTTCACCGTAGAAAATACGTGTATACAGATGTTTTGCGAAAACTGGAAATGTCAACAGAGCCGAAATTTCGTGTAGCAGTAATTGCGCGGTTTTGATAGATGGTGCTGGCATATGTTAGATAAGGACAGATCTATGCATTTGAATAAGACAGAATGATATATAATATAATGTAAGAAATGAATCAAAGATATCACTATTATCGAATTTGAAATTAAAAAGTCTGTATTATCGATCTCAATCAAGTTCGGTAATTGGATCCCTTAAGATTTAGAAGGGTTCATAATTCTTTATTATATTATTTTAATAAATTAAGTTTTTATTAGGTGCAGCATATATACCGGAGGTACTCTATGTCTTTTTATAACAAGTATTGTTAATTATTGAAAAAGAATTGCGATTTTTAGATATTACTTCGAATCATTTATCTTAAATAATATCTAAATTGTGTCCATTTTTCTCTTTCATGAAATAAATTAACAAACAATATTAAATCTATAGGATCGTACATGTGAGAACGCAACCAATAGGAAATGCTTTTAATGATCTAACTGGATCTTAAGTGGTTGTATAATTTTGTGAATTTATATACTACATAGTATTTGCGCGCCGAAATAATTTTTCAATTTTGAAACGCAAACTCAACTGAACTCGCAATAATTATATCACGAGTTAAATTGACTAGCAATTTAACAATTCGATTCTCTTACACATCTTAGAACAACGCATCTTAATAATGCTAAATGACATATTAAAATTTATAAATAATTAATTTTTATTGTAAAAAATATTACCTCGAACCCCAGATCTCTAGCACTCCGTGTGAACGTTTTAAGCTTTTAGACTACTAAGACCCTAATAATATTTTTCATTATAATTGGCATATGTAGAAATAACATTTATTTAAGACAAAATATAAACAATTTTACGTCCTAAATAAGCAATTTTAACGACGTAAATAAATAATTTTAAATCTATAGGACCATACATATGAAAGCACAACAATCAATTTACAAATTTTGCTTTCAATTTGATTATACAATCTCCTATTCTCTATTCAAATACAAGGATATATATGCGTAATAATTCTATGAGGACTGAAATTTTTAATTTTATAATTCACAGCGAATTTAATAATCTAAAATTTTTGTATGAATCTTTTGTTTTTGGCTTGCAGGCTTTTAGGATTTCGGAGAGCGATGCCGGTAAATGGTCGAACTCTTAATGTTACAACGGAAATTTATCAAATTGCCGACAGTGAACTGCTTAAAACGTTCTTCGTGAGTCCGGCCGGTAACCTGTGCTTCCACGGTAAATGTAGTTATTATTGCGATACGGCACATGCTGTTTGCGGCAATCCCGATACTTTGGAGGGTAGCTTCGCCGCCTTTTTACCAGATAAAGCTTTTGCGGCCAGAAAGGCTTGGCGGCATCCTTGGCGTAGAAGTTATCATAAACGGAAGAAGGCCCAATGGGAACATGGTAAGACACAATTATTTTCTTAGAAAGATGTCTTAGAAATCTAAAAATTGAATTCTAAAAAAAATATAAGGTTTTTTCTTTTTATTTTTATACTACAATAAAATTGTTATAGTCAAAGTAAATATTCCCTTTTTGCATTCTTCTTTATAAAGATTATGTGTTTCGCGAGTTTTCTCCGTATCTAGATCTATTCTTGGAATGCCAACATTTCGTGAATGACCTTGCAGTCCTCACTTCATCAGAGGAGCAATCTGATATTGAGCTGTTCCTCTGGGCCTCTCTTCTCTTTATATTACGCTGCTTGTGGATGGGAGGGAGGGGAGGGGATAGAGGAAATCGATCGAAACATTGGCATTCCAAGAATGAATATGGAGAAAATCTGTGAAATGCATAATCTCTATATAGAAAGCGTGGAAGCCTCAAGAATATTCTTTTTTATTTTTCATTATCTATGTTTAATGTTGTATTGGCATAATCTTATTAGGAAGATTCGCAAGGTGAAATGACAGTTAAATAACGACGCCGAAATTATTCATTAGGCTTTATTCACCAAATTAATTAATTGGTCAAGATATATGGGAGATTTGCATGTTATCAAAGTGCAAATTTGGATGCACTTGGAATTTGGATACACACGAAAATGGAAATCTTCAACGCGCGAACAAATCGAAAATCTTCACAAACAAACAGAAATCTTCTATGCACTTAAACGCATACTGAAATCTTATTGCAAAGATTAAGAAATCTTCAGATATTCTCATACGAAAATCTTGCATGCCTTGCACATGAAATACTGGACGTGTTCAAGTTGATAAAGCCTGCTCGTCGAGCAAATGAACATGCAGATTGATTGTTACTTATAAATCCAACCACATTCAACATTCGACGAACAAGCTAGCAGCTTTGCCCGGTCCATTTACGCGCGAAAGCTACGCGATAACTTGAAGATTTATCATCTATATTCGGTTCGATTCTGATTATTAATGCGAGAACACACAGGTCAGCGAGAACACAAGTAAAACACAAGAGATAATGTTAAAATTTGATTGATTAGGATCTAGCAGCAAACTGAACATTGATCATGAGACGAATAATGCTCAAATGTTTATATTTTTGGAGTGACACTAGTAACCTGCGTTACGTAACATAAATAAACTCTAACAGCGCAAGACATCCTCAGAATAATCCTAAATATCCTGATATACAGTTAGTTTATATTATACTAAGATTAAAATTTTTAAATGTTCTTAATCCTAATAAATAAGCACCTAAAAATGTCCTAAACACTTGAGGATTATCAAATAAGCTCTTATTATTTCCTACATACATCCACAGGACATTCAAATTTGAAATCTTAAAAGGTCCGATTGTAATTAGGATATTTTTTTAATTTTTCTAATATTCTAGGTTTGCTACTAGATGGTGTTATTTCTCTCATTTCAAATTTAATCATAATCGATAATCCAAGTTTATGTAAGTTCAGATACGTCATAATTATTTGTATTGAATGTTCGTATGTACTTAGTGCGAGATATGATTGTATTATACTTTTTATGTACCAACAAAGTTACTGAATATAATATTTTGTAAAATATTTTGTAAAATATTTCAATCTTGCAAATTGAGCATACTTTATCCCAGATATTCTGTGATAATCCTTAGGATATCTCTTGGAGGACTATACTACATGTGAAATAATAGAATTAATTGTTCTAAAGATTATGGATGGATATTTTTAAGACTTCAGATTTAGATGTCTTAATGATGTATGTAGGACATGAGGCGCTCATTTGATAATCCACAGCACGTCCTCAGAAAATTTCTAAACTCTAACAGAATGTCCTAAAATATCCCATTTAATTGACGGGACATCTCTGTGCTATTAGGGAAGGAAAATTATGGCCAACGTCAAATATGTTTTAAATATGTTTCTAATTTATATATTTTTCTTTCAAAATTACAGATTCCGATTACTGCACTCTGGTAAAAGAAATTCCACCGTATAATGAAGGTCGACGATTGATTGATCTTATGGATATGGCAGTCTTCGATTTTTTAACAGGCAACATGGATCGCCATCATTATGAAACATTTAGAATTTTTGGAAATGATAGTTTTACATTACATTTGGACCATGGAAGAGGTTTTGGGAAACCTTTCCATGATGAAATGTCTATTTTAGCACCTCTTTTACAATGCTGTGTCATTAGACGAAATACTTTAAGTACTTTACTCCGGTAAGTAAAATCTTTTATTTTTAAAATACTCCTAGCAAAAATTTGTGTAGTTTGACTACATCCATCAGATAATCAGTTATTATCATCTGGTATTACTGATTTCTCTTTGTAATACCAAAATATTGCGTAATAACTAAGCAATATTAGTTAAACAACAAAAAATCCAAAAAACCAGGACGAATGAGAGTCAACGTGGTAATTAATACACAATATGTAATCTTAAATTTTTATTCCAAAAAAATACTAGTTTCGGTTCATTTTGTAGCCACCTTCAGCAATAACAAAATTCGAAATATAACTCCTTTTATATTCAAGAAAAAATTAACATCAGATTTACAGATTTACAGATTTACAGATTTGATATTGCAAAATTCCAAAACATAAAAGGAATTCATCTCAACATTAGATAAAAAAATCATGCTTAAGCGATTAAAACATAATAGTCTTTAGTGGTAATAAATTTTGATCGTTTAAGCATGATTTTTTTATCCAATATTGAGACAAATTCCTTTTATGTTTTGGGATTTTACAATGTCAAATCTGTAATTCTGATGGTGATTTTTTCTTGAAAGGAATTATATTTTGAATTTTATTATTGCTTTCATTTTCGCCCTAGTTTTTTTTTGGATTTTTTATTGTTGAATTTGAGAGAGTCCGTAAGAAGATTACATTATTAATATTAATAATTTACTATTCAATATATTAGTCAATTCTTTATAAGAGATTTTTGCAATATTAAAAAAGTAATTGTCCATTTTTTGATAAGTTATGCAGTGCTCACGTTTAATATACCATTACGTCTCTTACAAAGAGAGGCTACGCTCTACTCTTCGATTTTGATTAAATTTTTAACAATAAGATATTTTTCTCAAAAATGCATACTTTCCGAGATATTAAACTTCAGATTTTTTATATATTTTTAACTTTCACTTGGTGAGCTTCTCTAATATCGCTGCAAGTTTGATCAAAATCAGTGAAGAGCAAAGTATAGCCTCTTCTTATTAGTACATTTATTTTTATGATTCTTGTAAAGTTATATAGTTAAATAGTTAAAAATATGTGAAAACCATAAACGTGTACACGAATCCCACGAATTGTATAACGTAAAAATGCCGCAAAATTAACACAAAAAATAACATAAAATACTAAATCAAATATAAGTGAATCACAAGGATTACAAGCCAGTTAAAATATTATTTATTAATTTTAATTAATAACATTTAATATTTATTTATTTAAAATTAAATTAACAAAATAATATAATAAGATTCAGATAAAAATAAGCGCATAACACATAAATGATTTTTTTTGGCGCATAAATAACACAAAATATAATGAAGAATATAATTGCATAACACAATACACAATTTATTTTTATTTTTTTTTTTTTTTGAGGTGCTAAGAGACAGCACTTGAACGGTATATTTGATGCGACTATAAAAATGATGACCAGCAAATCAAAGAAATCGAGACATGGCTAAGGAAAAAGAGGATAGTGAGGAGGAAAATCGAATGGAGACAGGCAATAAATTAAAAAAATTTGACAGTAATATAGAAGCGAAATTTAGCTGAACGATGGCGAGGAAAATTTCTAGGGAATTTTAGTAACGGATGACAGAAGCATCCGAGGAATGTATTTCGGAGTTAAGGAGCAAAAGATTGCGGAAATAAGGAGGAGTGTTAGTACGATACGAAAAACAAGACAACACAAGTGGAGAATGAATCGTTAACGAACATCTGACTAATCAGAACTATTAAAAGAAGAAAGAGATATTAAATGAAGAAAAATGAGATAAGGGAGCAAAACTAGCAATTAAGAGGCTGGATTTATATGGATTTAGATAAAAAGAGTTAGCAGAGGCCCATTCAATGATAGATTTTATATCGTGATTAAGAGCATCCACAGCTGTTTAAAAGTCGAATGGATCGAAGAAAGAAAGAAAAACAACATATAACAGAAATTTAGAGATAATAGAAATAGAACGTAAATCGACGATGAAGATTGTGAATAATAAGGGAGCAAAGATCGAATCCTGAGGGACTCCGAAAGGCGGGATGATGAGAAAGAAGGCTTTGGGATATATAGCAAAACTCTCTAAGAACGCTTTATAGGAAAAAACGAAGGAAGGAGATAGAGGAGAAGCTATAATGATAGAATTTGAATAATAAAAGCTCAACGGTATTGAAGGCTTTAGAAAAATCTAGAGCAACTATGAAAGTTAATAAGGTAGAAGACCAGAGTCGAACCCTCGGAGCACAGAGTGACAAGTGCAGCAGTTCGATGATTGTATTATACATATATCGGAAACCGGATTGGCAATTCGACATGAAATTTGTAGAGTTAAAAAATAAGTTCAGCTGTAGCATATCCGCTCCAGGAGTTTCGAGAGGAGTGAGTGATATGGGACGAAAGGAAGAAAGGATTATGAGTCTTAGGGATAAGAAAGACTATAACTTTCAACACGTAAGGAACATATTGAAAACTAGAGCGTAATTGAATGTGAAGAAATTAATTGATTGTAGGAGATAGAGGAAGAGCATGCGTCCAAAGAGATCGTGCGGAAAATTGATGTGCTGAAAGAGTTCGGCAGCGATAATAGAAACAAATGAAAACGTATCGAAATTTTTTTTGGAAGTAATAAATCAAATGTTGAAAGGAAGAGAGGAGGAGAGAGTCAATGAAATGATTATTAAATAAAGAAGGATCAAGGAGATGAGAAGGAATAATATAATTGGGAGAAGAGAGCCTGACGCCAAAAAGGAAAAAGTTATGCCAAAATTGTCGCGGAAGACCAAAGGAGAAGGATGACGTCAAGAATGACTTCTTTTCATGACGAATAACTGTGCAATTTCGAAATTCGCGATAACATTGTCAGTGAGCCTCGAATTGAGTCCGCCTGAATCCGATCAACGCACACTTTAAAAAAATCAACTTATGCACCGTTAATTTTCATCCATGAAGCAGACGATCGAAAACGTCTTAAACAGAGCGCCAAACGAATCGAAAATAGATACTATCGACTAAACAAAATAGGCGACTTTGGCATCGTGCACTCCCAATACATCTGGAATCAGTTGATCGCTGCAAGAAGAAATCAACTGCACGCAAATTTCGTGCAAGGTAAACGTTTGAGCGAATCGACAATTGATATATTCGAAGAATAACATAATAGTTATTGATAGAGACATCGTACACAGAATCAATGACGCAAAAGGAAGATGAAGTTATAATGATGTTAATGATGGACGCGGATTCATAGGTTACATAAGTATGAGAGAAAATTATTTGACGAAGACAAAGGTGAGACATCAGGAATTTCAGATACACTGTGGCGGCTGTGCAAGTGCCAGTATCACAGGCAACCCAATATACAGACGCCTGCAGAACAGAGCACGGCACGCATCAACTTTCTCGCAAGTGCCTTGCGGCACCTACTTTTTCACGAGCGCTCGCAGATCGTGAATCGCGAGTATATGATTCAGCCCCTCAGTAGGAGGCTGGAGTGACAACAATGAACCCAGCCATTAGAAATTCGCCCAGCGAGAGATATAAAGCCCGCCAAGGCGGAGTCAAATGGCTCAAAGCGAGAGACACCCCAATGTATCCAGAAGCTTGCATACCACGACCCAACACAATCCAGTGAAGGCGCTCTAAGCACAATGCAGGGACGGCGAGGCAACCAGCCAGCGGAGAATCAGCAAGGCCCAGTAGAAATCAAGGAGCAGCCACGCCTTGCAGCAGAAGAAGCGCAGCACGGCGTAATAGCCAGAGACCAGCTACAATAGCAACACTGCGCTCACCGTCACCTGTAAGATGGAGGCTGCTGCCGTTGGAGATCGCATCGCACTGCGATTAATGAGGCCTCCACGATATCTGCTCAGCACCTGGGACAGCAAGCAGCGCAGGGACATCGAGCTATCTATCCGTGGCACCATCTGTTGCAGTCTCTCCGCTGGCGACGAAGGCGACAGCGTAAACGCAAATCACGAACGAGTGGGAAACATCGTCACTGAGACCTCGCATTATGGAGCTGTCGCCACATATATCAGGAACACGCGTCAGCCTTGCGAAGGTACGTTTCGCTGTGCCTAAGGGCCTCTCTACAGAACTGAACGACCAGAACACGACTACTGAGGCTCTACGAAGTGGACGCGCTGTGAGCCAAAGATTCTATATCGCGGACGACTATCACAGTAATCAATCAAAAACAAATGGTCCTTTTCAGAGTCAACATCTATAAATAGCTTGTAAATATATCGTAATTAATTGGATATACCAAGACTTGTGATTTCGACCTGACATCTCGTCCTATTTGCGAACCTTCTTCCAGCACTCGGCAGGCAGTAGAGGCCGATTGCGACGGTCGGCTGTAATTCCGCCACACCATGTACATGCCCCAATATATGCTATGGTCATTTTCATTTAAAAAATTTGTATTAAAGTTATCCACGTACATCATTTTATCGACGATGCAGGCGACTATCGAGAAGCACATCTCAACGTAATCGAAATCAGCAATGGAAGAGCATGGCGTAGTAAACGCATAACATGACTTGCTTATTCCTGAATTGCAACGATGCATTGACAATATTTATACGCACGCCAGCGAGGAGATATCAACGTCGATAGGAGAGATCGAGTGTGCGCCATCAATACCACTATAACACTGCCACCGTGACTAACTCGCGAAACACCGTATAGTTTGGTAGCGAAATTGAAGAGGAGTCGCTAAGAAAGCACAACCAAGTCTTCCTACTTGAAATATCGAAACGATATAAGATCAATTAATTGATTGAAATACGGAATAAAAGAATAAGGAGGGGGTCAACGCCCGTCCGAGATATTCTGAAAAGAGTCAGGAGAGATGTATCGCGTCGACGAGCTCTCAGCTCGAGAAAAAAATGCGGCTCGTACCGCATCCAGACGTTTCTGATACCATGACTAAGAGCCAACTTCCGTGCCTTACTGGAAGTGCGACATTTCGCCGCCGATGACTGCTCATAGAGAGATCTTGCTTGACAGCCATGAAGAGAGGATGATAGAAGCGGATGATAGGTCGCGACGAAAGGTGAAAGCATGTGAGTAACTCGTTCTTTTTGGTCGCAATAGTCGTGAACTTGATAATCAGCGGATAAAGTGGTCCAGGGATCCGAAAAACACCAATCACTTTACTCGCATTCAATGTAACACCCAAGGAAGCGGCAATAATAGAAGCTGTTTTAATTTTATCCTTAGATACTATACTCGGAATACCGAAGATGATCAATTCATGATCGCGTCGCTCATTTTCAAATCTCTCGAAAAGAAAAACTGACAAATTTATCTGAAACAACGGGGACCCGCCTCGGAAGCAGGTTTTAGCAGCAGAAGCGATGGCGGTCTCCAAACGTCCACAGCGCTCAACACGACGCATTTAGCAGACAGTGCCAAAATCTCGCCGGACCTACGCTCCGCATCCGCGGTCATACGACCAATCACCGACTTGATCGCCTCCAGATGCTGAAGAATTGCTCAATACGGGTGATTTGAGAGTCGAGAGAATTCAACTTCATCGATTAATCCGATGAGCTCGCTCCGAGTCTCCAACGCAGTAATCTACACATCCAATATTACACAGATAAAGAGGCTGACAGTGCATCTAAGATAGATTGCAGGTCAGCGAGAGCTGACACGATTATAAGTTTCTCGAGGCTACAAGGCGTTCACAGCGACAAAATTCTAGACGAAAGATCCTCAAGATAGGCGCACGGAAAGCTGAGAATCGTTGGAATCAATGAAATCAGTAGGAACAAAAATCAATGCACGACGTTGACTGAGACTTCGCATTATTGTCAGTTTTAAAAAAGTACAGAGGCCGAAGCACAGAATGAAACATTTATATTTAGAACAAGATAGCTGATTTATATTGTTATTCCTAAATGATTAGATGTTTTTTGTGCTGTAGGAGATAATTGTCATCTGTTGCACAATGCCACAAAAGAAATAAAAATCAATCAATCTTATCTCATATATAGACTATAATATATTCTTCAATCTGCTTCAAGGCAGATTATAGCACATTAACAGAATAAAAAATCTGAATGCTGATTGATAGGCTATAAGACGATAGACACAAAATTCCAATTTGTCGGAAATTTATTGCTATTGCCTTATTTCGTGTTCCTATACAATGATATATGCATCCCCGTATGTTGGATTCTTCTCCCTACTACTATCGCTATTGCTATCGCTATTAATTCTATTAATAGCACTACCACTGTTGTCTCGCACTGTGTTTAGGGCTTTACAGAATGTTTTTGAACATTGTTTCCTTATAGCCAGTGATGCCAGTTCCGACTTCCTCGCAGCATAGTACAGTGTGTGAAGGGAAATAGGTAAAGATAGCCTGGCAAACGCCCCATGTCGCACAAACCCAAGCTCTATAATTCAAGCAGCGTGGCGTGATTGCTAAACTATCTATTCCCCTCTATATGTCGTAGTGTACAATGGCAAACGAATTGGAATTAGCATGATTGTTTAAAGCACATTGTATTGTATTCAAGAATTGAGTACAATAGCAAATACGTATTCACTTTATAACATTAATATTCTTGAGACTTTCACGCTTTCTATATAAAAATTATGCGTTTCGCGGATTTACTTCGTGTCCAGATCCATTCTTGGAATGCCAATATTTTGTGAACCTTGCAGTCCACTTCATCAAGGCGAGGAGCAGCCTGATTCTGAGCTATTCCTCCGGGTCATTTCTTTTATATATGCTTCTTGGAGTGATGAAGGGAAAGTAGAGAATTGTGGGTTGGGGAAGGGGGGAGAGATGGGGAAATCGGTTAGTCTTCGATAACCGGGAGAATAATTTTCCATATTTTATTTATATTGTAGCCATTATCTCTATTTAGATTGTTAGAGTGTTTTTGTATCCCTATGGCTTCTCTATACTTTCTTGGAAAGTATGATGTAATGTTGGTTATTGTGGTCGTTTTGTCAAACAGTCCAATTTCGATGTGATATTCTGATAATGCTGATTGCGTGATGTGTTTTAACCTGACATCACGTTGATGTTCTTTTATTTATAGGTTGACAATTCTCCCAGTTTCTCCAATGTATACTTGCAGAAACAAGGTATTTTGTATACTCCTGCGGAGCTGAGTGAAGGTCTTTGATTTTTAAGATTTCTTAAGATTTGTCCAATCTTTTTAAGTGATTTAAAGATAGTGCGAATATTGTGTTTGTTTAATATCCTGCCAATTCGATGTTCTGTTGTTCCTTTGACATATAGAAGAATGGATAGGATCCTTTCATCTGATTGTGTGTCAAAGACCATTGTCTTGTTTGCCCGTTTATTGATTGTTTTAATTATGTCTTTTTTGTCGTGTCCGTTTTTTTTCTGTAAGGCTATTTTTAAATGATTGATCTGTCTGTAGATGTTCTTTGTCAGAAATGGTGAAAGCTCTATGTACAAGTGAATTGATTGCAAACTATTTTTGTATTGAGTGGATTAACTTGGCATGTAGGTATCTATTTGTGTGTTGATTTTCTGTACACTTGGCTTAAGGCTATCCGTACTGTCAGCTTTCTTAGAGACAAGAACATCTAAGAAGGAGAGTTTTCCGTTTTCCTCTATGTCTATAGTGAAATGGATATTTGGATGTTGATTGTTGAGGAAAATAAGAAATTTACGGAGTAAATTCGTCTCTGTCGTGTCTTCATATCAAATGTATCGTTTATACAACGAAACCAAACTTCGGGTTTTTTGAGTGTTTTTTTGAGGGCTTCTTTCTCAAAATGAAGATGTTGGCGATTACAGGAGAAATAGGAGAGCCCATTGTCATTCCTGAGGTTTGTTCATAAAATTGATTGTTATAGGAGAAGTAAATAGTTGTTAAGCAATGCTCTGTTAGTAGGATGAGGTCCGAGGGGACTTTATATGAGGCCTTTATGTTTAATGTATCTTTTATTGGGACTTGTGTAAAAAGGGATTCTACATCGAAACTTACAAGCAGGTCTATGGAACGAAGTCGGATTTGTTGGATCTTTTGTATGAAGTCCGTTGAATTAGATATGTGGGATTTTTTAAGAAAAAGATGAAGAACTTTTTCTCGGATAAAGCATACAAAAAGCTTGACAAAGATCCAATTAATACAATCACGCAGGACACTAAGATCCTGGTGGAAAAAAACAACATTGGCAGTAAAACCAAATCAACATTAAAATCTACAAATCCTCTCCCATTAAGACTATACCAAAGTACACACAAAGTATACACAAACTAAACATCTCACTCAGACCGATTGTTAGCGCCACTCCCCGACAACTTATCCCACTTCCTAGCACAAACACTACAATCCCTCACTGGAAAATCCATCGTTTGAGAAAGCAATTTGAGAAAGAGGCCTTCAAAAAACACTCAAAAAACCAGAAGTTTGGTTCTAGATGTTCTTGTCTGTAAGAAAGCTGATGGTACTTTAGATCTTCAAGTGCACAGAAAACCAACACATACACAGATAGATACATGCCGAGTCACACCACCACCTATTACAAAAACAGTCTGTAATTAATTCACTTGTACAGAGCTTTCACCATTTCTGACAAAGAACATCTACAGACAGAACTCAATCATTTAAAAATAGCCTTACAGAAAAACGGACACGACAAAAAAGACATAATTAAAACAATCAATAAATATGCAAACAAGATAACAGTGGTCTCTGACACACAATCAGA